ACATAAGGAAGAAGTTCTTTACTGTCCGAGCCCCCAAGGTCTGGAACAGCCTGCCACCAGAGGTGGTTCAAGCGCCTTCATTGAACACCTTCAAGACGAAACTGGATGCTTATCTTGCTGGGATCCTCTGACCCCAGCTGACTTCCTGCCCTTTGGGCAGGGGGCTGGACTCGATGATCTTCCGAGGTCCCTTCCAGCCCTAATGTCTATGAAAGTCTATGAAATCTATAATTATTTGCCTCCATATTCCTGAGCAGGGACCGGGACATTTCCCCCTCTAAGATTACAGACAGACCCAGGGGAGGCACTGCCATGCCTAGGGTCAGGGACGACCAAGTTAGGGAACTTCTGGAGGGGCTGGACATGTTTAAATGAGCAGGTACAGATGCTCTTCACCTGAGGGTGCTGAGGGAAGTGGTGGGGGTCATAGCGGGGCCCCTGGCATGGATTTATGAGCACTCGTGGGGCTCTGGCCAGGTACAAAGTGATTGGAAAAGGGCCAATGTGGTCCCCATTTACAAGAAGGGAAGAAAGGAAGACCTCAGAAATTATAGGCCAATCAGTCTTACCTCAGTCCTTGGGAAGACCTTTGAGAAAATTATCAAGGAACACATCTGCAGGGGCCCAGCATGGGAGGTAATGCTCAGGGGCAACCACCATGGGTTCATTGAGGACAGATCCTGCCTGACTAACCTGGTTTCCTTTTATGATCAGGTCACAAAGTCCTTGGATGTGGGCGTTGAGGTGGATGTTGTCTACCTGGACTTCAAGAAGGTTTTTGACACCGTTTCTCACCCCATTCTCATAAAAAAAAAACTAGGTGACTGCAACATTGATGCCTACACAGTCAGGTGGGTGGCAAATTGGCTAGATGGTCACACCCAGAGAGTGGTGGTGGATGGGTCATTTTTGACCTGGAGGGATGTGGACAGTGGAGTCCCCCTGGGCCTGGTTCTGGGGCCTATACTGTTCAACATCTTTATCAGTGATCTGGATGTGTGTGTGGAAAGCACGCTGTCCAAATTCGCTGATGACACCAAGATGTGGGGCAAGGTGGGCACGCTGGAGGGGAGGACAGAATCAAGCTAGATCTAGACAGGTTACAGAGGTGGGCAGATGAGAATAGGATGGAATTCAACGCAGACAAATGCAGGGTACTGCATCTAGGGAGAAGGAACCAGCAACACACCTATGGGCTGGGGAACACCCTTCCTGTCAACACGGTGGCAGAAAGAGATCTTAGAGTCATTGTTGACTCCAAGATGAACATAAGCCATCAATGCGAGGAAGCAGTCAGTAAGGCTAACCGCACTTTGTCGTGCATCTACAGATGCATCACAAACAGGTCCAGGGAGGTGATCCTTCCCCTCTATGTGGCATCAGTCAGGCCGCAGTTGGAGTACTGCGTCCAGTTCTGGGTGCCGCACTTCAAAAGGGATGTGGCTAGCATTGAGAGGGTCCAGAGGAGGGCCACTCGCATGGTCAAGGGGCAGTGGGGCAGGCCATATGAGGAGAGGCTAAACGGCCTGAATCTATTCAGCCTCCACAAGAGAAGGCTGAGAGGGGATCTGGTGGCCATTTACAAACTCGCTGGGGGGGACCAGTGGAAATTGGGTGAGGCTCTGTTCCCTCAGGCACCACCGGAGGTTACGATGAATAATGGCCACAAATTGTTAGAGAGAAGGTTCAAGCTGGACATCAGAAGACATTACTTTACAGTTAGGGCTGCCAGGCTCTGGAATGGACTCCCAAGGGAGGTGGTGCTCTCTCCTACCTTGGGGGTCTTCAAGAGGAGGCTGGATAGATACTTGGCTGGGGTGTTATGACCCCAGCACTCATTCCTGTCCAGGGCAGGGGGTCAGACCTGATGATCTGTTTAGGTCCCTTGTGACCCCAAGCACTATGAAACTATGAAAACTTCCTGCATTTGGAAATGAGCTTGCTGGTGGTGCTGGCGCTGTCACCAGCAGCCCTGCCCCCTCCAAGGCATCCCTGATAATGAAGTGGAACTTGTATGCCACAAAGCAGATGACAAAGTTGGCATCACACACCGCCTTGACCAAATTGGTCCCATTGTCAGTGACCATGAACCTGTGGGTAAGCTTGCCCTGCCCAACAAACCACCCCTGTACCAAGCAATTCATGGCCCCCATGATCTCGGCTGCAGTGTGGGACTCATCCATCACCTCAGCTTGAAGGAGAGCCCACCAATGGCTTGACTGGTTGCACCAGTGCCCTGTGAGGGAGAGGTCACCGTGATCTCCACCCCAGTTGCTCCAGATGTCCAAGGTGAAGTGTAAGACCACCTGTGGGCCTCCCTGGTGCAGCTCCTCCCTCAAGTACTCCCTGCATGTCTCATACAGGGAGGGCACCACCACCCTGCTAAAGGTGGTGTGTGTGGGCACTTAGTAAAATGGGACCAGAACTGCTATGAACCACTTGAACCCTGGCCACTCAACTAGGGAGAAGGGCTGGCTATCCAGAGCAAGCATCTCCCCCATGCTCTGGGGGATCTTGCACTTGGGAATATGCCCCCATGTGCCCACCTTTCCCCCACTGGTCCAGGGTGGTTTGCCTCTGCTTCAAGGGGACAGGGGCTTTGGAATAAGAGGGGGATTTCTTTTTGGACATGTTCCCACTGGTGCCGGGCTGAGGAGGAGCAAGGGCAAGGGTGTGGTGCCTGCAGAGATGCATCAGCATCCCCATGGTGCTCATCTGGTTTGTTCCCTTGTCCTGGCTGGTTTTGTCTCAGCAGTGCAGGCAGATAGCATATGTGGGATCATCTGCCAGCTCAGAATGATCCCAGACCACACTGCCCCTCACTTCTGGGGTGTGGGTGCATGTGCAGATGCTGCCTTTTCCCCCTTCTCAGCAGGCAGAGGCACAGCAACAGGAGGAGCAGACTCAGCTCCTTGCCTCCACTTGCCTCCATAACCTCTACCTCAACCTCCTCTGAAGTGCCTTCTCGGGAAGGAGACCTGGCTCTAGGGGAAACTTGAGCGTTGTGAAGCACAAACTCAGCTGATTCCCCCTCCTTCCCCAGATTTCCCTTGCTATTGCACTCAGCTCCAGCTCTTCCTCTGACACTGGAAGGCTCAGCATAGGAAGTGAAATGGGGGTGGAGGAGACTGTCATGCTGGTGCTGCTTGTTGTCACCACGGTAGTGGGGGGGGGGGGTATGGCTGGTGTTACTGGAAGGGATGCAAACTCAGGCAGTGGCACTCCTCCCCTCTCCTTGCTACCGCTAGAGCCAGAAGCCTCATGACTGCTAGTTGTAGGAAAGAAGCTGAGTCTCAGTTTGAGGGGGAGGGGATACAGCATTCCTTCTGCCCTGTCTTCTGCCCCTCCCTGAAGGCTTGCCAGCTGCCTTTCCAGCACACTTCATAGTGTGTTTTATAGTGTTTGGTAAGCTAGAAAATCTGTGTGTTCTTCTGTAATGTAATATGTATTTATGTAATCTATGTAGATCATTGTATGCATGTATTTATGTAGTAAATAAAATATTTAAATGTATGTATGTGTTCCCATATAAATTCTATATTATGCAATATATGGTGTGCTTCCCTTCACCGTGAATGGAATGCACACTGTGAGAGAAAGCACAGATTTCTTTTCTGGAGAAAAGAATCAAAATAGACTAACAAAATCAAAAAGAAGATTTAGGGAGAGGAATAAATTGAAAGGAATTAATATAATAAATAAAGGGTATAATATATAATAATAAAGGGTATTAAGACTTAGTCTCAGGCTACAAACACCACATTTGTCCCAGGAGGAGGCATTTAACCCTAGGACAAACTGCAATTGTTCAGATGTCCCTATCAGTTGTCCCAGAACAAACCCTAAAAAGGTTCACAGGAAAAGAAGTGCTAACAGTTTGTCCTGGGGGCATGACAAAATGCATTTGAACAGCTGTTTTAGGATTGCATCTTTGAAGCAATGGCAGAAAAGCATCAGTACATTCAGCAGCTCACTAAACACCCTATTGGAAGGGCAAGGTGTGTACATGCCAATCTTGGGACTTTTGTGTTCTGGGACAAGTGCTGGCATAGCTTATCCCAGAACAAATACAACATCTGTTCCTAGCCTCAATATGCACCTGGTCAAGAAATATCACTGCACATATAAAAATGGCATGCACCCAATTTTTTAACCTTATTGCCTCAAAAATATATATTTGGTATATGAATCTAGATTAGACAAGGGCACAATATATTACCTATAAATTTGAAAGTATAATGCAAGAATTAAGATTGTGGTCTATAGCAAGGACAGGAAGGAAAAAGGAAAATGGACAGTTAGCAGATGCATAGGGGCTGAGCAGGTAAGTGGGCAGGGTCTGGTGATCTAGGGAAGTCAATTTCTGTTTCAGTGTGACCTGTAATCACAAATACCCTTGGTGTCATGAGCTTCATTCCCACTGCTGTCAGCCTGTCAGTAGTATTAGTGTGATTATCCCTCTCAGCTTTGTCACACACAGAGATTTGCAGCTAATAAACTACCTGAGATTCACTAGTAGCCAGAGATGCCTCAAAAAAGACAGTAGCTTCAGATGGAAACAGCTAATGAGAGAGAAGACAACATTCCCAAGCAAAAGGGTAATTCAGCATCCTCAAGCATTTCCTGCTCTTTCAGGAAAGTGTCATCAGCACTGAGCTATAGAATCACATACCCTCTTGCTTTGACTCTTGCAATTCTTTCTCCAGTAGTGAAATAATACTCCCACCCAGAATACGCTACACTCTACAGCCTGAGAGTTAGGGGATTTTTTCCCCCAGATGGTGAGAAATGTTTCAGTTACACTTATTCTATCAGTTTTCTTTAGTTTTGCTTACTGAAATTTGCCTTTCAGATTACTACTAACAATGAAAAAGTCTGATTCTTCAAATAAATAATCCTTATTCAGGCAAAAAAAAAATATCCATTAAGTTCAGTAGAACATCCTACAGGAGGAGCATAGACTCAGAGATTGGGCACAAATTGGACTGTGGATGACTTACCACACCCCACCACAGTGCATCAGCATAGCTAGAAAATCCAGTCTTTCCCTCTTCATCCACTGCATCCTTCTCAGCGAGGTAGACAAAATAAGATGAAAAGATCAACCCCAGGAATCCAATGTATAGGGTGGTTATGAGTTCCTATTCAAAAGGAAAGGAACTGGTGTATAATTCTTGAATTATGCACTTCAAATCAAAAACCAAAATATAACCATTTTATTTCACTTACTAACATATTTTGCTGAAAGGCAATTGGATGTAATGACAATATCAAAGGGTCACTTTGGTAAAATTTGGGATGAAAATTCTATTAACAATACATGAGGTTATTGAAGAGCCTTCTGTTTACAAAACACTAAACCAGGGTGTCAAACTCACTGTCGCAGGGCACTAAGGTGCCTGCTCCTTTAAGAGCAGAAACCGCCTAGGGAAA